AGGAAGATACCATGTACACTCTCATTCCCTAGCCATATATTAGCCATGGAATTGTTGTGGATCCCATAATTGCTTTCATAACATCATTCAGATCAGATCAGATCAGCTTATATGCATCTCGAATATTTCAATAAGTATAAATTGTGTTTTCATTAAGTATGAAATCACCTAACAAAATCGTATCTCTACACAAATCCGGCCAATATGTGATTAAGAAACACTACTAGATATATGTTATCCTAAACCATGATGATATATGTATCTGTATAACAGAAAATTATCATTTTATTATAGGAAGGGATAGGTACCTCCTTCAATAAAAATCAATGGGGCAAATGGTGAGGAAAATGACATTAGTAGATGAAACCTACCATTTTAAACAGGAAAGGGAAATGGAACAGTAACATGGGGCAAGTCTTTGTGGTCCATTATAGATAAAATTGTTTGTTAATTACTCTATCTCATTTGGCCCATGGAGAGAAACAACTCTCTGCAAAAATAAATTGCAAAAGAAAGTGACTGTTTTTATGTGGCTACAGTGTTAAACAAGTTACCAAAATTGAAACTTTTTGCATCATGTATCTAAATGAAGTCAAATTAGATATATATATATTGACATTTGCCCTTTGGACTTTGGTTAAGCGGTAAGAGTGTAACGCGTGATGTAGGGGTCAGGCCTATGTCATGGATTTAAACCTTACCATTGACAAATCACAAAAGCAGCTAAAATTTCATAAATAGACTTTTTCTTTTAAGCTCTTGTATATTGGAGATATAAAATAAGCATTTTCTATGGGGATCCCAAAATCATTTACAAAACATTTTTATATTGGCGATTCAATAAAGAGGCAAAATAGTGATATCTTTTTTGTTTATTATGAATGACACACGCTTTGTATTTCCTCCACGTATCCACTCGCGCTTTTATCTAAGGGCGAAAAAGAGTCGTTTGAAGCAACATGCAAACTTCTATTACTACGTGATTAGTATCAAGAAGTTTCATATTCCATTAGTGAAACTCCATAGCAAAATGCATAAGGATAGTGATTATTTTTTAATTACATTATCAGAAAGTGTCGACGTTATTTCTAATATAAAAATATTGTATTTAAGTAGAGAAGAATAAATAGTGTGGTCCATTACTCCCACCTAGTTTTGAAACGTGTGTAATGGCCCTCAAGATTTCTCAATTATATGAAAAGGGGAAAAAGAAGTAGGTATGAGAATATTTAATTTATTGAGATTCCCCTATCTTATTTGATCTTTGATTATAACATGATTTACAAAATCAAATTCAATAATGATATTGTTAAAGTAGTGTCTTATTAGAGTAAAATGTGCTTTAATAATATAATGTTAAGCAAGATTAGTTTGATAATAAAGCAAATCACTTTGCTATAATCCAAATCTATGTACTTGATATAGGCATATTTTAAGTAGAAATCTTGAGATATTCTTTTAAAGATTACAATAGATTTGATGAAATTAAATGAGGATGTAAAAGATATAGTTGGTGAAAGCAAAATGATGAAGTTGGTTATTCAATCTTCACAATCACAACCTGCTTTTTAATAATTTATTTTATTTATTTAATTATCATATGATAAATTTGCTGCTTAAGTTGAAAGAAAGAGACATAAAGTGAATGGAAGGTATGATATATACAGCATGATAGGGAAAATTATATTGACAGCCTGGTAATTGGACCCCTCTTCCAACCACACAACAAGGACTTAATAGTCCCAAGTATAGTGCATATATTTTTATCAATTTATATTCGATATTCATATTGAAGTTCGATTAAAATATAATTTTATATCGAAAAATTCTATAGAGATACTCTATCTTATGCTTAAAACTCGATTATGTAATATCTGTAAGGATGAAGATGTAGTATTTAAACACAACTCCATCACAATTCAAAACCCTTATTGATATATACAAGATTTCTATTTAAATTCACAGTCGAAATTTTTATATATTAAAATGTAAAACATTATCTAACAATACAATTCTACACTCGAAATTTTAATACAAGACACCTGATAAATAAGAAAGAAGAGTATTTGTTACTCTATCACAATCCTTGATATATAGTAACATACACTTCAAAGTTGTTTAATTAGCATATATAATAGTTATACAAGAATTAAAATAAAGTAAATTATTATGGGATAAATAATAATTATAGCATAAAATTTTGTTATATGATGAATAATATAACTTGAACTTGTGGCATAATACATAAGTAATAACATTTTCTAGCATGAGAGTTCAATGGGAAAGTAAAAAAAAATTGTTAAAAGTATTTAAAATTTGATACATATAAATAAAAAATGATATTTAACCTATATATTTCATATAATTTTTTGATGAATAATATTCGATCGATTACCTCTCACTACACGCGACTACTCCTCTACATTAGCTAGTATGCAAATGTCACATTCTTAACCCCCACCCTTATCTCAAAAAGAAACAACAATTGGTTGATCAATAATATTCAATTATAACAAATTAATTCAATCAATCTCTCTCAAAATATTTCCCTTTCATTGTGGACCCTAATTTTTCGTTATGTCCGGAGTTAATTATGGAAAATGTTATTATTAAAAATCTATTCATGCAGTCAAAAATCCATCATTTCTTTTAAATTTTTTAAATTTTTATGATTTTAATAGGTTTGATATGATCAAAGGTGATTTAACAAATAACTGAAATCTTTTTATTTTCAACAACCAAATTGACTTTATTGAGGACTAATAATAAAGGAAGATTCATGTATCTTCTTTTCCAGAACTATCTTTCAAGCGTTAGGAAAAAAAGGAAAAAATTAACGTTTTAATTGACTGTAATAATATATAGATATATAATATACGTTTACTAACTAAAAGATATATATTAAATTTGTTTTGTCTATTTATATAAAAGAAGGAAAATAATATTACATATATTTTATATAAATCAAATGTTTTTTTTTAAAAAAATGGATTTTTGAACAGCCTCCAAAAACAAGTAATATGGATGAAGATTTATATTTGTTGGTGTTTATAAGATGTTACTAAATTTGCTGACAGCTTTTCATGGAGAAAAAAATATTAAAAGTATTTCTACACATCTGAATTCCACTACTTCTTTTCTATTCTTTTATGCTTTTTCTACTTATCCATTTCTCCAATGTCTTTTTTTTATATTATTCCTATTAAATTTCGATTAATTCAAATCGTAATGTATAAAATTTAAAACGAAGTTAGAAGTTCAAACATAAACACGTCTGTCTTGAATAATTTTTATTCAGATAAAATTTATAAAGTTGAAATTCACATCGAATAAAATTCAAGGGAGCACTCCTATACTAATTTTTTATACTCAAGATCCAAATATTAGTTGAGCCAAAATAAATATATTAAAGAATTTATTAAATATTCATTAATATTTGAATATGAATCCACACACTGCTTGTAGGAGAGGTGGGGCTAGTTTATTATTTAGTAATAGCTTTCTTTCTTCATGTTAATTATTATTATTATAATTATTACTATTATATGTTGCTTTATTTATATTGTATCATATTACTTTATCTGTTTATTTTATCTTTTTTCAATTTCTTTCTCTTTTAATCCGAGATTCTATTCGAAATAATTTTTCTATCCTATAAAGATAAAAGTAAAGTCCGAGTATTTCTCATCCTCTCAAAAACCTTTAAAATGTTTTATCAATCTAACTACAATTTGCAATATATATATATATTATTAATGATTTTAATTTTTTCCCATTTAATTGTTTTCTTAAGCCCGAAAGGGAATTTTCATAAAAGTCTTTTTGATTCCTTAGCCAAAGTCCCAACTTTCACAATTGCCAACCTGGTTTTACAAAGTTGATTCTTTTTTATATATATTTTTATAATACTTAAACGAAATTAGAATTTTCACTCAACAAAAAGTTATTTTAACAATATACAAATTATGTAATTTTCCGTCGATCCTCCTCCTATTTCTTTATCTAACTTTGAGTTTATAGTCTTTTGAAAATATCTTCCCTAATCTTAATAAGATAGAAGTAAAATCTTTCTAAATTTTATTTGTAAAATCATATCGACTCCATTATTGTTATGGATTATTGTGAAATGAAAGTAAAATTTAAGGAGATTAATTAGTAGATGGGGCTTTGGATTCCAGCTGAATTACACTAACAAGACATAATTCTTAATCAAAACAACTGGAGTTAATCAGACACAATTTGTTTTTGTCCCCACTAACAGCTGTTTTTTAATAACAACAATCCTATTTTTTCCACAACTCACGCTACTTATTAAGTTTTTTTTTTCAATTTATTTTGACCCCACTTTTTATGATTATGACATATAATATCTATCAATTATAAATAATAATATAACCTAAGTAGCATAACTACTTTTATTTTACAATTTTAGTCCTTAGTATATAAACCCTTCCCACCATTTATTTACGCACAATACAATGTTCATTTTCAAATACCTTTTGTAAAAATTAATTGCTTTTGTTGAAAAAATATTTATTCGTAACCATTATTTATATCATTTGGCATTATATTATTCTCAATGTGAATTGCAATATAATATGTTCAATTTATTATAAATAAAGTGTAAAAAATATATGAAAAATAAAACAATAGAGACGTGCAAGTAGACGCTCTCTATAATTGGCCATAATTTTGGAGTAAAAAGACAATTTTTAAGATGATGACTAATATTCGTCTATTTGTTATTTCGATTTGTTTGATAATATATATACTTTTTACATAATTTGAAAATTATTGCACATGAGCGAATTTTTGGAGTTCCAAAATATATTGAGGAAACTAAATGAAATATGACAATTTTGTCTTTGAATATTGGAATTAGTGATAAAATTAAAATGGTAAGAAATATATGTTTTTAATAAAGTACGTATCCATCTCCTCCCAACACAATTTCTTACCAAATTAAATGAGACTACAAAATATTTTACAAAGTGCAAATCTTGGTAGAGTTTGCTAATTGCCTCTCCAATTTTTGTAGTAAGAATTACATGAAAGGAGAGAAAAATAATTGAAACAGTAATAATAACAATAAGCCAAATTAATCACTAAATAAATCAAGAATTTTTTAAGAGAAAAAAATATCTCTTTAATTTCTTCTTTCTTCTTGAATCGCGATATTTGCTTTGAATAGGTCTTAATCGCGAATTTTCCCTCTCTTTATGTACAAAGCCTTAGGGCCTCAAATAAATTCATCAATTTTTACTGAGCTTTTTTGGGTCATAGTTCAACTTTCATTTGAGAATTAGGTACATTGCCTGCATTTTTCAACAAAGAAAAAAAAATGTTAAAACTATTTTTGTATAAAAATCGATAGGTGCAATTTTCTAATCTTTTGTATATTGACAGTATAAAAATATATATTTATACTAATAAACCATTTAAAGAATAGATCGTACAATAAGACAAGTTACCTGCTACACCCGGAAAACTTTGGTTCTGATTTTGTCCAAATCCCATTTGAACAACACTATTGAGATCATCCTCAAAGAATGTGGGGACCTAAAAGAAACAAATTAAACTTTCATTTAGTATGTTACAATTTTTTTAATAAATACCTATTCTGCTTCGATATTTACATGAAACGACACAGATATAATAATATTTTTGAAGAACTCAAACTATCAGGATTAAATTTATTACCTGAGGGGTAGGCTCAACAAAACCATCTAGAGGAGGCAATTGCATACTTGAATTTCTGATCAAATTAGGATTCAATGAGTTAATTTGGAAAGGAAACTCTGTTCCTTTATGATAATTTTGGTTTGGTTGAGATTGAAATCCATAAGGAAATGCTTGGGTTGATGTTTCTGATTGATACATGTTATGTCCCAATGATCCCCTAGATTGAAACATCTGGAAAAAAATACGCAAAAATATTGTCAGGTACGTGTCGAATCGTCTAATAATAGTTAAATAATATTTCTGAAAAGTCTGAGTAGTCGAGTTAAATTGACTTACATCCTTGGAAAGAAGTGCTTCCATATTAAAGTCCATTCTTGGATTCACAGTAGCTAATTTCATTGAAAGGAACTACAAAAATGACATTAAAAAAGTATAAGAATTTAATAGTATAGTCTAAAGGACTTAACAGGACTCCCGTAAAATTTAAGTATGTTACAGAAAATTCGATCATAATTTACCTCAACTTGACGTTGAAGTGATTGTACATAGTTAATAATCTCATCAAGCATTACAGCTTTTCCAGTCACCTATAGTAAAAAATAATAATCAATTTCACATATTCAAATTATGAATCTGCTAAGTAAATCAAACAAAATAATATATTTATTTTTTTCAAAAATTAAAAAATCACCTTATTGCAGCCTGGTACAAGATCTTGTAAAAGCTTCATTCTTTCACTAATTTTCTCCCTTCTCACCTGTCAAGTTTGAATAAACGATATATTAGGAATTACGATATATCAGATCCTCAAAAAATTACGATATTTCTGAAGAATTCGAGCAAAAATCGAAGTTGTTACATACTCTTTCAGCTAGACTATGTGCATCTGTGGCCTGTCCCCTTCTAGCTCTCACATGAATATAGTCCTTTGGTGGTTCTGTTGCCTTTTGGTTATCTTTATTTTCTTCTAAAACAGCATTTTCCTCTTTTTTTGTTACTTTATTTTCATTTTCCTCAGACTTGCTTCTTTTGGCATTTGATTCATTTTTATCCTGCAAAATTAAGTACAATAATATTAGTACTACTAATAGTTATTATCTCAGAAAATCGCGGCGACTTTCTGACATACTAACACATTGTTTTGAGTGACTAGCTGAGAAATCAAACTCGTGACTTACATTGACAATCTTGGATGATTTTCCCTTGGAAATTGATTTTCTTTTTCTTGAATTTGTATCATTTTGACCAATCATTTGCTCAGAAAGTGATGAATTTTCTCTTGAATCTCCAAATTCAGAATTTCTTTGAACCAAATTGACATCTTGAATCTTGATGGAATGATTACTTTCTAAATTTGTAGCAAAACAAGAAAATCTAGCAGCTCTTTCTGCAAATCCAGGATCAGTAGTAAATTGTGTTGGTGGTAAATTACCTCTCATAGAAAGATTCAATTTTGGTGGAGAATTTAAAGGGGTACTATAACAAGAATTATTAGTACTACTACTATTATTATTAGTATTGTTACAAATACTTCCTAGTCTACCAATTAATTCCCTTAATACAAAATTATCACTACCACTATTATTATTAGGAATTGAAATAGGAGAAGATACCATTGAACTCAATGCTGATTCAAATGGATCAGAATTGTTGTTATCTAAATTGGGATTAAAGAAACAATTTTGAAGATGTTCATAGGTAGTGTTATCATCATTTATGAACAAATTTCCCTTTTCCATTTTGAAAAAAAGAACCCCAAAAGGCTAAAAATTCAAGAAGAAAAAAGGGTAGGAATTTTCTTGGAAAAAAAATGGACACAATATCTTTTGGAGTAGTAACAAAATATTAGAAGAAAATGACTTTGTTGTTTGAAAGGAAAGAAAACATGTAGAGAGGAGAATTGGAAGAGAAAATGAGGAAAGTGGGACTGAAAAATATAGGAGGAAAGTTAAATAAAATGGACAATGTGTGTTTGACCTTTTGTTAATAGGTGGTGGGACCCACGTAAGGACATTGATATAAATATGAATTTAATCGAATTATAATGTGAATATCAGACATCGAACGAGAAAAAAATAATTAAAAAATAGGTGGTGGGGGTGAGATGGGGTATGGGGGAAGTAGGGGGGTGGTTGCCGGGCCTTAAACGTCAAACTAGCTGATGTTTATTTTGTTATGGGAATTAATGAAAAAAACTATATAGTATTTCAAAATGCCCCAAATTTAAGTATGTGGTACTAGTATGTACATCAATTTTTGTTATTCATCATCACACTTCTAGTTCAATCATGTCTTTATGGTTAGTAATTTCTCGTATTTGTTTTATCATAATTACAAATTAAAAAATTGCTCCAATGTAAAAATAGATAAATTTCACTTGTTCGAATAATTTTACGTAAGTAACTCAGTGAGAAGTAGCTCAGCGACTACTTTCTACGCCTATCAAAGTAAATTAGATTAGGTCTTTGAATATGAAGTAGTAATATTTAAAGGGGGGAAAAAATATGATTCATCTATTTCAATTGTTCCTTTTTGAGAAGAATCGATAAGAAACAAGAAATATTTTAATGCGATTCAATTTTTTAGTATAGAAATTATTTCGATTCTAGTGAAATTATAATATTAGAAGAACTTAGAAATTTTGATGCAGAGAATTGACAAATTTTTCTAGTAATAACTGATCATTTTGATATTTTGAAATTGAATGATGAATTTTGTTAAAATTGTGTTTTAACTTTATTCCACATTAAAACAAAGTAACAATATTGCATTTCATTTTCTTGTTCTTTGCCATTTATTTCATTTTTTGTTTTGTTTAGAGGAAAGAGATGGGAAAAGCCTTTGTATTTTTGTCATTTTTTCCCCACTTTAGTTCCTTCTCTTTCTTCTTCTTCTAAATTTTTAATTAAATAAAATATTTTTCTCTATGTTTTCTGTCTTCACTATGTATTTATGGAATCATTTTATTTTTAAATGAGAAAACTCCACTCATAAAGATGTCACATTAATGGATCTAAGTTTTTGAAAAAATTGTTTTTAAATGATACAAATGTAGATACGTATTCATACGAGTTATTTTCGGTGTTATGACGAATTGACAATAATATTTCTCTACGTATATCTTTATATAAATTAAAAAATTGGAATTTAAGCCTAATATTCTTATTTGCTAAACATGGTAAAAAATTAATCAAAAAACAAGAAAATTTTAATTAAATGTAACGTGGAGAAAGTGCAATAAAGTCCCTTTTCAATTATTTTTACAGAATTTTAATTGTTTTTTATTTCTCACTTTGTGGCGGCCTTTATTTTCCTTAAAGAATTATTTCTACATAAAAATTTAAAAGTCTTGGTTGGCCTATTTTTTTATATTTTATTTTTTGTGAAAGAGTAATGAGGAAAACAGATCTAAAGGGGTCTATTTGGGACCCACAAGAAAAATATTTAAAGCAAACAAAAGGTTTTGAAAAAAAAAAACTATTTTTCCTTAAATCTTTATATTTAAGATTCATAGCACTTGGTAGTAGAATTGGAGTTTACTTCTTCACAAAGTAATTAATAGTAGTATATAGAAAAAGTATATACTACTAAAATTAGGAGCATATAATAAAATATGTGTTTAAATGTCTAATGATATATCAGAGATATACTAATTATAAGTGTTTTTCTTTTTTTTTTATTTCAAAAATAATTTTGTTCATGAAAATTTGAGTATATCTGTCCTTTATAATATCATCGATTATCATGATCGCATAAATATAATTGATAATTAACGAAATATAATACATACAATACATGATCTCATCATAATATATTTGTAATCACCTCATTTTTGGTATAATTGAAATTTTTATTAATTAAAAATCAATCAATTGAAATATTTTTGTACCATAATTTCTTTCTTTCTGGCTGTATTCAATATAATTATAGTGGCAGAGAGTTGTTGATCCAACTATTATTCAAATAATAAAGTAAATAAAAGCATCTTCTAAAGCTTCTTAGGGAATAAGTGATTACAATATTTTATTATTAAGATTAAGTGAGAGTAGCAAGTAAGTCAATAACACAAGATTGATTTAAGTGTAATTAGTTGTGTTTAGTTGAAATTAATTACTAAATTACTAAAGGGAAGAAGAGGACAATGATGTAGAATAACATAATACAAGACAAACATAGAATAATATATTGTATGTTTACTTCTATTATGTAAATTAATTATTGTTATTTTATGTACAAACTTATAGTGGTAAGTTTTTTAATTTTTAGTTTCAACTTGTACAGATAGATGATTGAATGTTTGATTAAACATGCCAAATGTAAATCCTTTTTTATATATATTTTTCTCTACTTGTTTTCATCTTGGGAAATGTAAAGGAGAAAAAAATGGCTCCTCATTTCTGTTTTTATCCATCATCATAACAAAATGGATGTAAAGGAGTTTTATGTTAATTATGGGTTTAATTAATTATTTGATAAATTGGATAAGAAGGAAATTATTTATGTTTTATCTCGATCAACTCTAATCTACTACAATCTCGATACAAATTCATGTTTGTGGCATATTAAATTATAATCAACTTATCTGAACAATATTAAAATTTAGATACGAGTTTATGTTTGTGGCATGTTAAATTTATAATAAAACTTTGAAAATGCTTCAATAGCTAATAGTTTCTTTTATTTCCGATCAATTAAAATTTTTTTTTACATAATCTTGAAACTTATAATTGGTGTTCATATTCAATAGCTAATGATGTTTTTCAATTTTAATCAACTCAAAATATAACATCTGCAATACGATAAATTTTATAATTGATGCGTACATACTCCATGAGTGTAAATATTGATTGGATTCTTTTTTCTCTCTAGTGTTCTTGGTGAAAGTTTATTATATTTTAATAATTTTATGGAGTTGGTGATTGAAGAAGGTATTGTAGGCTAGAAAACCTATAACGATCTTGTACCAATTATATAAAGAAAATTTTAATTTTTGTGTTCCATTAAATACTCATTTTCCCATAAAGTCTACTAGTGTCAAGTGTGGAAGCTCGATAACCAAGTGAAAGAACAAATGTTTTTGGCTAGAGCACAAGAAAAAAATAACAAAAAAAAATACTAGAGGTGGTTTGTCTTAACATAGGCCTAGTATTTTAATATCAACTTATTAGTTTGACTAATTATTATTTATTTTGTTATTATTATTGCATTTTTCTAGTCGACTTTGCACAATTTCCTTATACTTTTTTTTATAGTTTTTCTTTGTTTTTGTATTTGGATTTGTGCATCACAGCTAAAGGATTTTTAAAATTAAATTTTTAAACGAGATAATAATAAGATCTGTATAAATATTTTATCTCTGACTCTCACTTATAGAATTTCATTGGATATTTTGTTATTATTATTGTGTTCTTTTCTATTAGCTAGACTCTGTATAGTTTCCTTATATTTTGTTATATTTCTTCTTTATATTTATATTTAGAATCGTACAACTAAACATAAAGTATTTTGAAAACAATCTCTTTATTTCATTGTTGTTACTGTTATTGATCAACCAATATTTATGTACAATTATGTATAATGATTATATAATCTATGTATATCAAGATTAAAAAAGTAAACAATAAATATACTTGATTATTCGTATAAAGATTTTGACTAATTATTCATATATCTTAATGTAATTAAGTATTATTTTGTGTAAGTTCATTTCATCTATTTCACAAGTATACTTTTTTACTTAAAATGGCAAGTAGTTGTACAAAAATAACAAATAGAGTACTTTTTTTTTCAAGCGTAAAATGTGTGTCTTTTTGTGATGTAATAATTAAAATTTGTTTTAATTCATGAAAATATAGAAATTAAAAAAATAAATAAACTATGAGTAGTAGCCCATAGAAATTGTAATTCTATTGGTGGATATTATAATTTTATTTTATTTTCTTCCTTTTAAGGTAGTTCTGCCAAATTTTCAGGATTGACCACGTGTTGTAAAGTTTTGGTCAATTCCCATAACCTGTAGAATCTGTATTTTTCAGTACTGTTACTAACAGTTAAAAATAGTAAATGCTATATGTACGCAGAATAATTATTTTTTTACATGAAATCGATTTGTTTCGATTTTCAAATGATAAATAAAAATAAGAATGAAATAATTTTATTTTAGAGTTGTCGTTGCTGTGTGCTTTTGGACCCTTCACTTGTATATATATTATTAGCGTTGAACATATATATTCATATAAGAAAATAAGAAAATTATTAGTAGAATTTTGATAAATATTAAATTATGAACGTATAAGTAATGAATCCGAACCATCAAATTATGTTAATTTTAGTATCTTCTTATTGACTTATAGTTACATCACTCATGGATATAATCGATAAGTTGAAGTGTTCTTATCAATTTATTGATCTTAAATTTTAAATTCGTCTCTTAATACATATATCGAGAAATGATTTATTTATTTTTTAATATTAAAAAAGCAAATCCGCGAATGCATTGCATGGATTTGCATGGCAGTTGGAAGAACTATAGAGACAAAAAAAGTCTCATAATATAATATATTAATAAGTATGGTTTTGCATTTAATTTATTTATATTTTTTTATTTTGCTGACCAAAACCAACTTTTCCTCTAACAAGCCACCGCCCCAAATCTTTCATCTTACACGTTAATAATTTTTTCTCCAAACTCAATAAATGCAAGTGTGGACTGTATATACATTGATTGAATTAAATTCATGCATTATGTACATATATGAAGGGACATATTAATAAGGTTCACAAAAAGTCATTCTTTTTTAGGTATACATATATAACTTCTAAAAAAATGATAAATATATATGTACTCTTACATTCAACGATAATAATGTATCAAGTGTAATTTTGATTTAGTACAGTTTGGGGCAGGTGGTGTTAAGTGTGTGCATAGCTTTATACCGACCTTTTGAAGATAGAGATCAATCAGGTTGTTTTTTTATAAACCCTCGAGCCTCGTGAGCTGATCAAGTAATCTCATAAGTGGAATCTTAAAAGAATTAAAGTTACACAA